TTGTTTCAACTAAACGATTTCCATTTCTTAAACATCTTTTATTTCAGAAGAAATGATTGACTAATTTTTTAGTTCCAAATCCCTTTTCTGAGTTAGGGTCTGATTTAATTGTTCCAAGACGTGATTATAATCTTCTGATTTTCTTTCAACGTCTCTTTCCAATCTGCTTTTCCTTCTTGTTGATTCTCCAAATTTGAGTTGCAAGGTTTGTAACTCAGATTTGCAAATATCATAATTGACCATTGTGTCATGATATGTTTTGAGATCAGCTTCCAGACTAGTCTCAGTTTTGGTTATGTGGGACTCAAAAATTGTTTTGGAAAAACCAAGTTCAGAGATCATAGACCATACATGTTCTATGACGTTGGGAGGTCTTGAAGGTATTTCAACGCCAGCTACGAAGCAGAAGTTTGATTGTGCTTGTTCATTGTCAGCTTCTTCATCAGATGTTAGCCAGTATTCCACGCTTGGTTCATGGATTGCCATCAATGCTTTTTGCTTTTCTTGGTTTTCCAGTTTCTTCAATTCATCGGCTCTTTGAGCATAGTATGCTGAGTCTTTGATTTTGGTTTTGTTTTTGGCTAGACATTCTCTGGCATAGTGATTTGTTCCTTTGCAGTTGTGACAAATGATCACTTCTTCATCACTATCATCCTTTTGACTTTTAGTCGGAAGTCTTTCAGGTGCTTGACTTTGGGTTTGTTGGGAAGGTTGAGAATGGTTTTGTTGGAATCCAAAATTTTGGTTGTTTTTAAAACCATTGTTTTGATTGTTGTAACCTTGATTTTGGAAACCGCCTTTTTTATTTTGAAAACTGTTGTTTGGATTGTGATTATGACCTGAGTTGGGATCGTTTTGAAATCCCTGGTTTTGAAAACCTTGGTTTGAGTTATTTTGGAAAGAAGATCTTTGAGAATTTTTTCCAAAGTAAGGTCTAGGTTGAAAACCTGAGTTGTTTTGTCCAAAATATGGCCTTGGTTGAAAACCTAAGTTATTTTGTCTAAAAGATGGTCTTGGTTGAAAATTTGGTCTAAAATTTGATTGACCATGATTTGGGAGAAATCTCTGGAGATTTGAGTTTGCAACCAACGCACACAGTTGTTGATAATCTGCTTCATTATTTGAATCAAACTGGAAGGCTTGGTTTTGAAAAGATGTAGTTTGATTAAAATGATTAAAGTTTTGATCATTGAAAGGTGTTTGGTTTTGAGAATTTGTGGACACAAGTGCAAGTGGTCCTCCAAAAGCTGCAGTGGTTGGTGGGTCAATCGAGGATTCATATGATTGAAGTTCTCCATACAAGTTGTACAAAGTTTCAGTATGAATAGTTGGATTTCGCTGAATAATGAGTTTAACCATTTTCCAGCTTTCGAAAAGATTGTTTAAAAACTTGAGATTTATCTCAAGTTGTGTCTTTTTGATACCCAAATTGTTCATTTTAACCATAATCAAATTGAACCTATCATGAGCATCATGAATGGTTTCTGATCAAAGCATTTTGAAATTATCGAATTCATTCAAAACAGATGTTCTTTTGTTTCCGATAATTCTTTTATTTCCACAAAAACGATTTTTCAAATTCTCCCAAATTTGATTTGCGGTTAACAGTATAATGTCATCCATTTGACTTAGAATACTGTGAGATATTCCAGAAACAAGTTCCTTTTTGGCTTGGAGTTCCAACTTTTTTGTGGTTTCAGCTTGAGTGGCTTGATGTGTAGCAAGAGTAGCCATATTTTCTGGAGTAACATATGTTCCTTTTACACACTTCCAGAGATCTTCATTTATAGCATTAAGATGAAGACTCATACGGCCAACCCACGAATTATACTCTTCAGGAATAAGTATGGGTGTCCGTGAACCAGATCCTAAGCTATTTGCAATGGAGACAGAGTTCATGTTGGAGTAATTTCCCAAAGACATTTTTTTTTAATTTTTTGAAAGGATTTTGAACAAGTGATATTAAAATGAAAATTTTAAAGAAAAGTTTATGGAAGGTTTATAAACGCTATAACCAAAAGTTTTTCGACAAAAATTTCAAGGTAAATCACACAAGCTCTGATACCAATTGTTGGATATTATTCCTTTTATATATCAGCTCAGATACCGATTTGTTGGAAATATAACAATCTGATCACCACAACAAAAGGCTCGGTTGCCAGTTACTGTGTGACAGATATATCAGTTTAAGATATAAGATAGATATATACATATAAAGACTAATAATTGCAGAATAAGTATAAATATGAAAGCTATAAATGACTGAAAGCTATAATAATATAAATGACTGTATTTAAATGATGTAAAGCTATAAATAATATAAATGACTGTATTTAAATGACATAAATCTATAAATAATATAAATGACTATATTTAAATGACATAAAGCTATAATAAAGTATATAAGTATATAAATATATATCAAGTAGGTTCGTCAATAAATTGACCGAACTGCACTCATGGAACGACTAGTCGATATTTGTTCTTTGAATGGACTGGTCGATATTGGGACTCTTGGAGTGACTGGTCGATATTTGTTCAAAGATCAATCCGACATTGGATAAGTAACAAAAAGGTCATTTAAAGCTCGGTTTTATGTAAAACAAGTGTTTACAAAAGGGTACAAAATACATGGGTTTATGTATTTGTATTTGAGGTATTTTTGGGTAAAAACATGCACACGGGTTGTGTAAGATAAGGCACAAGTGACACGGGTCGTGTAGGAAGGTTTAGGAGGGTTTTCTTGATGATGATGCTGACACGGGGCATGTCAGATTTAGCCTTGGATTTAACACGGGGCGTGTTGATGATGTTGATGCTGACACGGGGCGTGTCAGATTTAGCCTTGGATTTAACACGGGGCGTGTTGATGATCAGAAGCAAGCAGAGGGCAACATGGGGCGTGTCAGATTATAAGGCATGCTGAACACGGGGCGTGTTCACGCAGGAGGCAATTTCACGATTTTTTTGATTTGAAGGTAAGTTTTGTTTGTGATGTTTTGGCTAGGGTAATGGTGTTAAGTTGTTTTGAGGATGTTTTCAAGGTTGTTTAGAGGTTGGAAGGAGGTTGATATAAGGTGCTAATGGTGGTGAAATTTCTATGAAGATGATGATGAATAGTGATGGGTTTTGTGGTTGATCTTGATGCAGAAGTTTTTGGGGTGTTTCATGGTTGTGTTTTGGTGTTTTGATGTAAGGGAAGTGTTTGGTGGTGTATGATATGATGAACAAAGGTGGTGAAGATGAAGAACCTTGAGTTTCAATGAAGAAGATGAAGTTGGTTGGTGGTGTTCTTCATTTAAGCTTGTTGATGATCTTGGTGTTCTTCACTTCATTGTTGTTTGATCTTTGTGTTCTTCACTTTTTTCAGGGATGAAGATTGAGAGGGTATGGTTTTACAAAGGAGAACTCACTATAACATATGGATCTCTCTTCCTCTCTTCTATTCTCTTTAAATCTTACACACACTACATACACATTTATATATACATGGTGAAACAAATATCTAATAGCACTTGAGTGTAAGTTGAAAACAAGGGCTGATCATGCAAGTTGAAGTAGAGGTCTAGGAGGCAAAAGACGTGGGTGTTTGTTTGCTACTTCATTTCCTTGACTTGTTGACTCTTATTTGTTGACTTTTCCCTTTGTTTTGACTTTTCAACATACAACATATATATAATGCATATATACGTATATAATGCATATATATATATATATATATATATATATATATATATTGTTGAAACTATTTAATCACACATATGTGTTTTCGTCATTCGCGTGTTTTCGGATTTTCCGTTTTGATCACGGATTCATGCAACCTGAAATAACTGATAATATTTGTTAGATAATACAAAGACAGTTCATCTTATTTCAGTGATGGTCACATACAAATCATTTTTCAACACAAGCCCAATATATGTAGGACCCTTTGAGATCACTGAAAGGATCGGTCCGGTGGCATATAAACTCCATTTACCTCAAGAGTTAAGAGCCCTTCACGATACATTCCACATCTCCAATCTTAAGAAATATTTAGCCGATGAATCCTTTATAGTGCCTTTGGATGAGATCAAGATCAACGATAAATTGGATTTCATTGAGAAGTCGATAGAAATCTTGGATAGAGAGGTGAAAAAACTCAAGCGGAGTAAGATTTCGATTATGAAAGTTTGATGGAGCTTGAAACGCAGGCCGGAGAATATCTGGGAGCGTGAGGACTTCATGAAGGAAAAGTATCCACAACTTTTTCCATATGATGACAAACAATGACACATAATGAATTTCAGGACAAAATTCTCTTTGAGTGGGGGATACTGTGACAACTGTCAAATTCAGGTCGTTCTTGGACTCATTCAGCTTTTTATAAACCATGTATGCACATCATGTCGCGACCTACTAATAGAAATTAGGTCACAATCTTGTATAAACTAGGATCAAAATAAATCTTGGACTAATATACTTTACTCTTACAATTCTAGTAAGTTTTATAGCTACTGTAGGAAATGCCAATACCCAAATTAGAACGAACTTTAAACAATTGTTACAATAAAAAAAGGGTATAAAACTCTAAAAATAAATTAAAATCTTCTAATTACATTTCAACATGATGGTAAAGATCTAACAAAGTTCCAAAAACCCTAAACAGCCCATAAATCCAAATTTATAAACTTTAAAACCCAAAAACTCTATAAGATTTGTTATAAACCTTACTATATCAAATTTAAATAATTAAGTTATGGGATATAATCAAAGAAATAATATTTTAATTAAACATACATCGTATTTTATGAGCTAAAAACAAAGATTTTTAATAGGTTAAGAATTAAATAAAGAAGCCGTTTTATAAAATTAGGGTTTTATAAAAAAAAATTAAGAGAAACTAGGGAAGAATCCCTCGTTCCGGGTGTTGGAATTGCGGGTGTTGACGGGCATTTTATAGTCTTTTATTAAAATCAGAAAATAGAAACAAACTTACAATGCTTTACATATATTGGATCTAATTTTTTTCATGTTGCTATAACAAAATTTAGTGTTACATGTTTGTAATTTAACAAAGAATCAAATTACAATGCTCTATATGATATACATGGTATTTCTAAAAATACAATGCTATACCTATGAAAATGCTCAAGTAAATTTAAAGAAAAGTATAATGTCTTATCTTGTTGATAATACCAATGTGTTGAGCACATCCATTGCTTTCATTTAAGCTCCCTACACAAAAAATAAATCTTATTGAATCTGTCACCACTTGTCTGCATATAACTATAAATAAAAAAATGGAAAGTAGATAAACCTTTAAACACTCATTTTCTTTAGAGTATTTAGGGTTATATTAAAAAGGTGAAATGCAAATCAGAAAGGCAGTATCATGTAGACTTCAGCTTAATAAGTTAAGATGTAATCTTCTAAAACAACAATGTCCACTTATGGATGATATTAAAATTCAGATCCCATCATTTCATACAGACTAACCAAACATGATCATAGAATGTGTGACAACCCGAAGTTTGTTTTATTGCCGTAACTCGTTTCCGTCCATAAAACTCGTCTTCAGCAAATTGTTCCGATTTCATTATTGGATTAAGTCATTTAATTTAAGACTTTTATTATGATCTCATAAGTATCCAAACCCGTTAGAAACACATGAAAACGCCCCAAATTATGATTTGGAAAAATTTTAGTTTTATTTCGTCGGGTTATAAACAATTAAATCGGGTACGACCAAAAGCCCAATCTAACATCAGTATCGGGTAGATTTCCATCGAGCCTCAAACTCAAACCATTTTTAAAGTTGAGTGAGCCTCATTTGAAGCTTTTTCACTCTCTCTCTCTCTCTACTCTCTCTCCTTAAATCCAAGTTCTTGATCCAAAAACCATCCAATTCAAGCTCCAAATTGGTAAGATAACTATCCTAGCTCATAGATTAACATCTTTAGGCTTCAAATTCGTATTTAGATTATGAAATAGGAGCATAATCATGTGTTTATGGCCCTGGAACAGCCTTAGGCCGCAAACACATACAAATGGGGTTTTTGAGCCGTAAAACCCTACCAAACCACCTTTAGAGCTTAGATATGACTTAGGTACTTTCAAGACTAGACTTGATCACCAAAACCATAACATTTGAATGGTAAACATGATTTTACTGCCCAAGAACATGCTTGGGCCGTAAACACCCTTTCATAGGCCGTAAACACCTTCTAAGGTGTGAAGATGCCCCTTAAGCACCTCCTAAGCCTTGGAATAATTTCTAGAACCATCCACAAGTATGTTAGCAACCTTAATCATCAAGAAAACTACCCCGTTAGGAGTTCACAGCCTTAAACCCCCCAAGGATGGCTTCCTAGGCCGTAAACTCCTATACATGGGTCAAATGGTGCCTTAACTTCATCCTCTGACTTGTATATTGAGCTAGAAACACTTGTGATTCACCTAGGACCACCAAAACACACTTTGAATGGGTACATAAGAGTTTACGGCCATAAAATCCTATTTTAGTGCCATAAAATTCTCAAATGGTCCTTATGTTATTCAAGTTCCACTCTAATGCCTTAAAACCAAGCCTAGCATTACCCCACAAGAGTTGTAAGACCATTAGGCACCCAAGAACACCCCCACCATGAGTTTACGGCCGTAAACTCATTGAGAGTTGTTCATTAGGCCGAAACCTCCATTAGGAGTTTACTCTTGAAGAGAAAACTCCATATTCAAGCCATACACACCCTTAGATGCTACCCGGGTCACTCCAAACACTTGTATTGAAGTGTTTTCGCGTGTCGAAGTGTTTATTCATATTTGATTAGTAGTTCAGGGTCTAATTAGATACAAATTTGTATCTCTTCATATTACATAGGAACCTCGCGTGTTCTCAAACCCCGAACTAACACTTAGCATCCAATCGATACATTTCTCGATTGGTGAGTTCATACCACTACTCCTTTTTCAGTGTTTTTCAAATGTTTTCAGGGGGAATACAAGCAAAATTACAAGGAAATCTTGTACTCAAACTTACTATTTTAGTTCAAATGTTCATATTCTGTATGCTTTTAATATCGAAAACCGTATTAACCAACAATTTGACTCGTAGGGTTAGCTTTCAAACTAATTGTAGATTTCGTTATAAAATGTTATAATCTATGTTTCATTCTATAATTTTACGAAAGATTCATGTAATCATTAAACTAAGGTTACTACTAATAAAATACGCCTCTGGATAGTACCAGAACTTCGAAAGTACAGCTAGGGCATGCCTTTGGATGGCACCAAGACTTCGGAAACACAACTAGTGTACACCTTGAGTGTCACCAGAGTTTCGGAAATAATTCGAAAGTACGCCTTTGGATATCGACAGAGTTTCGAAAACATATGCCTTTGGATGTCGACAGAGCTTTGGAAATACGTCTAAAACACGTCTTTGGATGTCACCAGAACTTCGAATATACAACTAGTGTACGTCTCTGAGTGTCTCCAAAGATTCGAAATTTTGAATAAGTATTGTAGATATTTGACATTCGTGTATAGGATAACCAGGCCTTAGAATACTTATCTAATACTACAAGTATGATAGATACTAATACATTGCATTCCGAACCAAGAAACGAACCACGACTTTTAGGAAAATAAGGGTTTTTCCTAAAATTACAAACTGTTCATAACCAAACTGTAGAATAAACGAATAACTAAACTTACATATAAGAAAATATGGGATTTTCTTGGATTACAAACTATTCCTAACTTGATTGTGTAACAATCGGATAACCAAACTTAACTTGACTGTGTAACAAACGAATAACTAAACTTTGCTTTTAAGAAAATATGGGATTTTCTTGGATAACGACTTTTTTTCAGAAAAACCAAAGGAAACTTGTCCTCTTACGAAAATAAACCGCTTATGAACTCACCAGCTTTATGTTGATTTTCAAACTGCTTGTATTCTCAGGTTCACATTAGACAGGTACACAGCGATCTTTTGGAGAAGTCGGAACGTATACAAGACTCGTCTTAACTTTTTTTTCATATGATATATATGTATAACACTTGTAGCACTTTGTTTTCAAACAATGTAAAAATTTCTATGTAATGTAATGGTTGTGTTTACTACGCTTACTATGTACATTGGTTGCGATACTAAATGACGTCCTCCGCCCCGGAACGTTTCCGCCATCGTTTTCAGGGTGTGACAGAATGTAATGACTTATTTCATTACCCAGGTTATTCCATTCCACTCCTTCATCATCCTATTTCACACAACCAAACAAATTATAATTATCTATTCGTCAAATTAAAGAATGCTTACATCATAAAGAAGATAGCAGACAAATCCAGTGAGGGCATACACAATACCTAAGTGAATCCATAACCTTCAAAAGTTCCAAATAATGTGATCAGAGTTAAATGTAATAGTTAACTGGTGAAGAATCAATATGGTAAAGTAATAAAAATCACTTTTTGGATCTATCAACTATATACCTTTGATTTGGTCAACCATGTGTGTGTGAGACTCACAAAGTCTTTGCATACTTTTAACCCGTCTTGAGTTTCAAGAGAGTTTTCTATAATCTTATCAGGTCCCTAGATATTAACAAGTTAAACTATGATAAGTCACATGAAAATATTAAAAATCAAAAACTCAATAAAAAATAAAAAATGTTATATTATATATGACGCCAACCGTGAAGGATAAATGACCATTTTACCATTGTCTATAGATATTCTGGTAAATAACAACTAACTGTTTTAATTTATAATCATGATAAATCATAGTTTATTTTCTATAAATAACAATACAAATTAGAATATAATTTTTTTAAAAGATCATCTTGTTGCCTCAAATCCCCCATGTAGCAATACCTTGATGCCCTTACACCACCAACTGGGCCCTACAAATCAATTAAAAAAAGATTTTATTATTTTTTTTATAAATTATAGCCCATGAAATCTGTTAATAATTATAAAAAATGTTTAAAACCTGGGCCTGACAAAGTCCAAACTCAAGAAGAAGTTAATTTTTTCTAGAAGCAAAACATTGGCTTGTGTAAATGTTTCCAAAAATACCCTTCAAGTTAGAAATTTATAAGATTCACAAAAGGGGTTTTAAAAAGTTAAACCACCTGAAATAGGAACAATACAAATAGAATTTTCAAATATTCGATATTTTTGTGTAAATGTTTCCAAAAATACCCTTCAAGTTAGAAAATAAAACTTACACCGACAGGGCCTTCAATCCTCATCAAGAGTACTTTACAAATGTTCTTCAATTATTAACAAACAAAAAACAATCCAATCCCTCTTTGATTTAATACCTTTTTAACCCACCAAAATATGAAAATAGCACCAACAGAAGGAAAAGATGTATGATACTAATGAGTTAAGAGATTTATTGAACCTTTAAAGTACATTTACAATGATAATAAATTTTACTAAAAAACATTCCTTGTTATCAGTTGATAGCATCATAATAAACAACTTGATTCACTATCATTATAAAACGAAAAGAAGACATGATTTTAGATTGAAAGGGTAGGAATGGCAAACTTATTCTTCCATGACATCCCCTTATACTTGAACGACTACAACCAAGTCCTTAAGTGTTGTAATCTTTGGTGACAAAAAATCAGTAAACACAAAGTAGATCATCAAAATAAAACAAAGATATAAAAATGAAAAAAAAAATTCAGAATATGGTGACTACATGTTTATACCCTCTGGAAATTTCATCTTCGTTTCCCATAATCCTTCCCTTTTAGGGACGCTACCGCACGTTATTAACCAATGTAAATAGTTACTTCTACTTTCACTGCCTTTATTGTGAGTGCCATTTGTTGCTGATTAGGACCAAAGAACCAATAATCGATCATACTGTAGGTAAAAATCGGGAAAAGATGGATTAATTTACCTTGTATATGTCGAAGGATTGTGAAAGTTGTCTCCTTCTGATACGGTCGAAATGTCGAAACCCCAAAATATTCTTGTTAACATACATCACCAAAGAAACACAACCTAATTAGGTGTGTGTTTATCGATCACGTGTAAAGTTTGCAATATGAATAAGACGACATCAAGAAGGGGGTTTTAGGGTTTTCATGTAACCAAAATGATGGTAAAGAAAACACGAAGTAGAAGTTCAGAACTTAAGGTTGCTAGGTGGGATAAGGTTTTCTTAAACTAAACTTGGCTATTGAGGTTGCTTTCGTCTTTGATTTGTTGGTGAACATAAATGGATTTATGCAGAATCGGGTTGGGCGGTGTCGCTATGGTCGAAATTGAAGAAGGTTATTATCGGTCCAAATGAAAAATAGAGGGAAGATGAAGTGAACGATGGAAGGATGGAGAAGTTGTACGCCAGAGAACAATATAGATCGGTGGTCATCTGCTATCGGTTTCTGATTTGAAGCAGTGACAGGTGTACGTTTGTAATTGGAAGCAGAGAGAGGTGGGAGCAGAATATAACACATAGTAAGTAGAACCTAACATGTTGCAATTACATATAGTGGTTGTGACCTTTGGATAAATAAATAGAATAATATATAATTGGATAAATACATGGAATAAATAAAAAATAGACAGAAAATAAATTAAAAAAATATAGTCACTCATAGAGAAGTATTGTTCCCTTAGGGGTTTAGAATTAATCGATATATATATATATATATATATATATATATATATATTATATATATATATATATATATATATATATATATATATATATATATATATATATATATATATATATATATATATATATATATATATATATATATATATATATATATATATATATAAAGATTTAATTATGAGAGAAAAGACCCATCTCATACTGAAAAAAAATCATCCACCACATCTCATGCTCCCTTTTCCCTAAGTCTTTCAATCATTTTATCTTCTGTTACACTCTAACTTCCCTTCACTCTCACTCACTCACTCACGCTCTCTCTCTCTCTCCCTCTCTCCACTCTTAACCACACTCAAACTCTCTGTTTCTCTCTCAAAACCATGAAATTATCCAGCCAAGAACATCTGCCAACCTTCAAATCTTCATCTTTAGGGTTGTTCTTCAAGGTAATCATGAAAATCCTTCATCTTCCTTCACTTTATTTCTTCTTTTAAAGGTTTTTCTTGCACTTCTCCATGTTCTACACCATTCTTTATGAACATCATGAACATATCCATGAATTTCAATTTTGATGAGGATGGTGGTAGGGTTTCACCATAGAACAACATACATGTTGTTTGATGGTGAAATCAAAGGACCAAAACCTATGTCAAACCCTAAAATATAAATTTTTACAAGTTTTAAAGATTCATCTACCTTACACATTCAAGTTTTCCCTTTGAAAACATCACTATGAATAAAATATGTGCATGCATGGTCTTGAAACCGTGATGCATGTGATGAACATCAAGATAAAGAGCTTGATGATCAAAATACATTGTTAATAGTGCTTGTAAATGATTTTATTCATAAAAAATCTTGATATCCTTTTCTATTCGAAATAAAATTTCCTCAGATTCTCAGTAAGATGATATGAGGATCCCGAAAATCCCAAGAGTTTTTATCATTTAATAATTTATTAAAATTGTTACAAGAATACAAGGCCATAAATCATTTAAAATACTTTATGAGGTCTATAAATCCTAAGGAAATTGGTAGATGACCCCTAAAGTAAATAATGACATCTGAGTAAGTTTCATCGATTTTGGTTACAGTTTGGTATGGTTTTGAGTTTTTTTTTTAAATCAAATAAATCATAAAACCACTTTAGGAAATGTGAAAAGGATATTTAAGATTTTTCACAGATCTTACCTCATGTGGAATACAGGGGAAAAATATTTTCAGAATTTTTCATAATGCATACCTATTTTACCCTATTTTTGTATTTATAATCGACCAATAATGATAAAAATATTTATACTCATCAAACATTAATGAAAACTTACCAAAAGACTTTATAATATATTAGAACTCTAAATTAAAATTTGGATGATTTTTCTATTCAATATGCAGTTTTCTTCTATTTTCTAAGAATAAATACACTTAAATACACAAAATCGGATTGCATTATATATAAATCACCATTGGTATTTTTGTCGGATTATGTAGATTGTAAGTGAAGTTTAATTTTTTTTTTGGTAATTTACTTTAACTATTTGATAATTATTCACCAATTAATGATTATTGAAGAGAATAAAACAAAGAAAAATAGCAAGACGAGTTGAAAAATATATTTTTATATTTTTGACAACTTCAATATGCATAATAATAAAGTTACAAAAAGTTTGGGCAATTTTCGAAATGGTTTTCTATTTATTTCCATTTTTGTTGGAATAAATAAACAAAAATCATAAAATCGGGTGAAACTGTTTAGAAACTCATTTTTATATTTTTTTTTCCAGCTTAAGTATGTTTAATAGCAGTATTATAAAAAGTTTGGGAATTTTTATCATTTGGATGCTAGTTTTCAGGAATTTATATTTTTTTGATGACTTAAAATTTTGGAAAAAAAATTAATTTCATCAAAAGTTAAAGGGAAAATTTCTAGAAGACCTCTACTATATTTGGAAGGAAAATGTAAAATTTGATGAATGTTGGAAACTGTTTGATAATTTGTTTGGATTTTTAAGAGTTTAAAACACCTTTAAATATGTTGAAATACGCTCAATTAATATTACAAAATACCTGGAAAATAATATACAGAATTATCTTAATCACATGAGTTATAAAATATCACCATTTCAGAAAAATTGTTACTCATTTAATATAAAACCAATATTAGAACAAAAATTTGGAATTTCTCTTTATGTAGAATTTAGTATATTAGCATTAGATTTCGACATAGAAACTCACTAGCATGTGTTTCATGTCGTACGATCCTGGTAGTAAGGGAATTGGTGTATTCCGAGGCACCAGTTGTAGCTACTTGAAACATTGTGAGTATTCACACCTTCCCCCTATTTTTGATTTTTTTTTATGTTTTGGGGTGGAAAAGAATGTCTAATGTATTTATATTGAATTGTATCAAACTTGATTGCTATATTTTGCTATATTTTGTTGTGTATGTGTATGTTATTGTTAAAACATGAGGCCTTATCTTCTTAAGTCCCTTTCACTTTACTCCAACCATTAACTATTTGAGCCAATGGTCATTATGAATAGCTATTAGGATTTGACAGCTCTTCACTCGCCCGATTGCTTGAGTGCACGATACGATATTCATAATGGAACGGTAAGCATAGATCTTGATAGGGCATCAGTCATAGACTTGGTTGTGAACTCATTGTTTATTCATATACATATAAACTTGTTTATTAACTATAGCAATGAACTTTGTTTCTCATTATAGCAATAGACTTTTTTTCTCATTATAGCAATGTACTTGTACTTATGGAAAGTGTTATACTAAATCTTGATTTTGTAAACTTGTGAACTCACCAACTATATTCATAGTTGACTCTCGTTTTACATGCTTTTTCAGGAAATAATTAGTAAGTAGGTATAAAGATTCATCATCATAAAGCATGTTGCATCATGTGGAAGTTATTTTATGAAGTTATCTTTTGAATAATGTCATTTGGAAAACTTGTATTTTGTTTTGTTTGAATTTTAGGTTGTAAACTTTTAACTACTACTATGGTGATGTATCTTTATCTTTCGCAATGAAATCTTTATCGCTGTCATATCTTGCGTTTTCGCGTTAGCGGGGTCCAACATATATGATGTTCGTAAACCTTAATGGCTTCCATGACTATTCCAACATGTCAATATTTTGTTGATTCAATCTAATTCCATGAAAGGGAAGTTTATTATGTTCAAGATTTAAAAATTCAATCAAGAATTTGTTTAAGATTTTTCAACCATAGTAATTATTCTACAGCTTTAAGGATGATTGTTGTCTTTCTTATACATTCTTTTTCATATGGAGCTCTTATTGTATTCAAATACATTCATCATTTATGGTTCAATCATGCATTTTCTTCTACAAATCATCACATTACTAAAGATTTGATATCCTTTGAGATTAAATGAGGAAAGAAGTTGAATCTTACCAAGGTTTTGTTTGCCAAATTAGTTTGATTACGTACCAAATGAAATTTTTAATACACTTCGTCTATTGAAATCATTGAAGTCGTGAGGTTTAATCTCAAAATCTATGGTCTCTTATTGTATTTCATGCTTACCATTAGAAATTTCTAACACAACTTCCTAATCAATCTCGTTTTAAAGTCATCAATCAGATTAATGAGGCTATCATTCTATTTTCTTCCAAAAGATAATGCTTTTTTGGTAAACTATCGAAGTACTTTTCTTATTACCTATCTGAATCAACAAAATCCTAGTGATATTCCTTTCACAGTTTCACAACATCGAGGAAAAACACTTTGCAGTGTTCAAAAATAAGTTTAAAACAAATGAGGTAGAGCCCAAGAAATATTATGTTTTGAAGAAATCCAAGAAACTGGTTATGAAGAAGCCTAGGTGGTTATTGATTTGGAATGTGCAGAGTATCGAATGTTCTGAAGATATTCTGTATTGAAGGCTTAGGGTCTTGTATATGTAGTGTTTATCAAAGTTTACGTAACTTCGATATATCTATGTATTTCAAGAAGAACTTATATTTTAGTACTTAAATGTCGACGTCTCTGTATATATTTTGAGTCTATTGATAGCACTATAAATTGTGTTGTATCATAGGTTATTCAGAGAGATATTTTTCACAAAACCTGATTTTGTACTTTGTAACCTTGTTACCTTCCAGACTTAACAGAGCCGAAACTAGATTTATTTACCTATCGTGTTCTTATACATTACGAAATCATTACTTGATTGAATTATGGACTCATTAAGTGATACCAAAGTAGGATTCATCAAATCGTTTGGAGAATTCCTTTCACATTTTCATCTGTTGATTCAATCGTTCTGAATTCAATACTTTTCTTATTTGAAAAAAAAATCTTTGAACGAAGTTTGTGATTGTACGATTCTGCAATCCGGTTTCAGCGATTTGGAGCCCAAGAAATATTATGTTTTGAAGAAATCCAAGAAACTGATTATGAAGAAGCCTAGGTGGTTAATGATTTGGAATGTGCAGAGTATCGAATGTTGTGAAGATATTTTGTATTGAAGTCTTAGGGTCGTGTATATGTAGTGTTTATCAAAGTTTATGTAACTTCGATATATCTATGTATTTCAAGAAGAACTTATATTTTAGTACTTAAATGTCGACGTCTCCGTATATATTTTGAGTCTATTGATAGCACTATAAATTGTGTTGTATCATAGGTTATTCAGAGAGATATTTTTTCACAAAACCAGATTTTGTACTTTGTAACCTTATTACCTTCTAGACTTAACAGTGCCGAAACTAGATTTATTTACCTATCGTGTTCTTATACATTACGAAATCATTACTTGATTGAATTATGGACTCATTAAGTGATACCAAAGTAGGATTCATCAAATCGCTTGGAGAATTCCTTTCACGTTTTAATCTGTTGATTCAATCGTTCTGAATTCAATACTTTTCTCATTTGAAAAAATAAATCTTTGAACGAAGTTTGTGATTGTACGATTCTGCAATCCGGTTTCAATCAATAGGATTTGATTTCTTTTCGATTAAATTAATCACTTTTTTATCAAATCGATGGCTAACATGAATGTTATCATGATGATGAATTTTGCAAACCTTCTTTGTTCTTTCACAAAACCCCCAATGTTGCTTCCAGAGTATTACGATCAATGGTATAATAGTATTGAAGATTTTCTGAATGGTATCGATAAAGATTTGTGGCATCCCATAAAGAGTGGACCATATTGATCAAGTTTGCTTGAAGCAGTTGGAACAGCAACTCAGAATGAAAACGATATAATCGATCGATTGAAGGAAAAAGCTAATGATAAGAGGTGCATTCGGGAACTGAGAGGAGCTTTGCCTCTAGTTTTTTACAACAACATTTGTGGTTTTAAAACTGCAAAAGAGATTTGGAATACTTTGAAGGGGAAGTTTTGAGGCAATGAACAAACCAAGAAAAGATCAGTAACTTAATGTTTCTATAAGTTATCTAAATTTAGTTACAAGGAAACAGAGTCAATTGAAGCTACATATTGTTCGAACAATTCTAGAGTTAAACATTACATTCATTAAAGGTTTGAGGAAGGAGTGGAAAAAAAATATGTCTTATGATCAAAACTAAATAGAATTTTGATTCATATTTTCTATCGAACCATTACACCATCTTGAAAGCACATGAAGTTGAAGTGAAAGAAATCATAGATTAGAAGGATAAAGTTAGTTCTGGTGGTCCTTTGCTCTTGTTTTTAAAACCAATATTAATGAAGCTTGTTCTGATGTCAAAGATGGAGAAAATGAAAAAGTGTTGAATTGTGAACTCCGAGGATGAGGTTGTGGCTTACTATTCCAATAACAATTTCAATAAAAGTACTTTAGCACCCAACTCTATTGTTGAGAACAAGAGAGAATGAAGTTCTTGTGAGAAGAAGGTTGGGTAAAAGAAGTTAATTCGTGACTCTGATTATGACTACAATTATTGCAATGGAAAAAACCATTTGGAAGGGATTTCATGTTAAAAAAGAAGGAGGATAAGTAAGAGAAGGTGAAGGTGTTGGATGGCATCATAACTATTTCGGGTATGTACTTGACTCGGTTTGGCATGGTCTATTTGGGTTGCGTGGCATCATGCACTTAGGTAGACTAAAATGAGAGAAAGGACAATTTTGATTTGTTAATATATTATAAGTTCTAATATATTAATAATATTATTTAATTAGAATTGATCAAGAATTAATTTAGAATTAATTTTATGATCAAAAGGAGACTAATTAAATATATGGGCTAATTGTGTGATCATTCATTTCTTTAATAGTGGGCTTGTATTCCATGGTGTATTGAGTTGGGCTAAAACCCATTGAGATGCTCCATGGTTGTTTTGAACCCATGGATCCAAGAAATGGAAAGTTGTGTCATTTAGGGTTTACATGGTGTAACCCTACTTGTGACACGATATAAAAAGGATATGTTAGCTACCAAAATTGGACACTAGAAAGAACAAGAGGGCATAGCTGATTTCTAAGTGTGTTGCATTTCTTTCTAAGTTATTCCAAGTGTATTTAGTGTTGTGTGAAGCATTTGAGGCATCACATTTGGGTTGCTAGGCTCACAAGGATCTCAAAGGAATTCCAGCAACAAAAGGTATGTATCTCTTACTAACTTTGATGTTTAGAAATTCCCCATGTATGCTAGACAGGTTATGAACCTTGGAAAAACAAATTTTCATGTATCATAGTAAAACATAGATCCAAGGTTTCTAGGGTTGCATGTACACCATAGGAGAGTTAGAATGCTCAAACCCATCAGAAGGATGAGACGTACTACGTGATGAAAATCGAAGAATTAAGGGCGGAGTCAAAGAATCTTTCACTTATGGAAAAAGGCTTGGATTAAGACGAAGATATGTATCAGATATGGTCATGTGGATATGATGAAGAAGTGATGCAGCATACAATGCATAGTGTTATGTTCCCTATGCACTCTTGTGATGATGTTGATGGGGACTATGGTCACTACTAGAAAAAAGGACTTTTACGATGCTCATTGCGCATCGTAAAACGCTCAGACGACGCGCAAATGCGCGTCAAGGAAGGCCCTGTGATAACGAGAGACGACGCGTTTTTGAGCGTCGTCTATAGACGACGAGCATTTACGATGTGAATTTATGACACGCAATGCGTACCATTAAAGTTGCTGTCAAGAAAGGCCATGTCATAAATGAAGATGACACACATTTTTTTGTATCGTAATTTTTTTTTTTTAAATATTTATAGATTTACTAATTTTCAAATTAAATTTGCATTTCATGTCTCATAATAGAAAATAAAATATCATATACAAAAAATACAATCCATTGCACAATCAATTTCATTCAATAACATCATGTCATAAAATTGTAATACATTGATATTAAGGGGATCTAATTGTACGTTGTTATTAAGAGGTTTTCCCTAACTATATAACCTAATACTACATTGCTATAAAGGGGCACCTTCTTGTTTCAGTAACTCATCATTAAGCTACCTGAAGAAGATCTGAAACGTTTCCTAAAACAAAGAATGATTGCTTTATAGTTTAGCCTAACATCATAAAATCATAATTGTTGTGCTGAGAACTGCATCATGGATAGCCTGGAAACAACACAAAAATCAATATATCTTTTCAAGTATAGATGAAGAAATTTCATAAGCAAGTGATATGAGATGATACCTGAAGGGATTTGATAATTCCATTGATCATTTTAGTGTCAATTTGTGGTTCATCTTCTCCGGTATTCTCATTTTCTGTCAAAAAAATGTCAAACAGATAAACATCAAACTGGATACATTTTCAAAAGTTGAATATTGATCATAAATATTCATCATATTTTCTACACTACATGTTGTGTAATCTAATCAATATCGTATTAAGATATTTTTAAACTTACCCGACTTGCTAAAATCCAGTATGTGTCTTCTAATTTCTTCAGTTTTAGCACATCCACATTTTAGGGTTTTTATGTGGAGATAAACACCAGAGGGAAAGCAGGGGTAGAGATTGATGATCATGTATTAAAAAGATTTCCCACCCAAAGGGAAAGCATCTAAAGCCTTATAATTACTTAACATCTCCCATAATCACCCTGCTCTTCCGATTCAATGCAAGTACACTTCATGGTCAGGTTGAGATTGATGATCATGTCTTATAGGAAGATCATAATTAACCACCAAATTAACCTGATAAAAAAGGGGGAAATATAATTATATGACACAAAGGATAAAAGATAAAATCAGGGGTAGAAATGTAAATATGTGCTTGATCATAACCACGATCAAGTTCATTAACTGATAAGATGTATAATGAGATTTTCATTTGATGATTTTCACCAAACAGAAAACAAAAATAAACACTTACATTCTTCATTAGAGCGGTGAATGCATTCTTTGGTAGGCCAAAACCAATTGCTGTCATTTCAGCAACAACATGAGGAAATTGAATTTTGAATTATATCATGTAACATTGAACAAATTATGATGCAAAGTTTATAATGTATTATATATAATATAAATGATGAAGTTTTATATAAAAAATGATAATAAACAGTAAGATAAATAAAAGACAACTTAGCATGGAAATAAAAGCAACTTGAGAGGTTTTTATATCAAATACTCAGTCCCTTCATCATCAATTACCAACACCACAGTTTCTGCAGCCTTATTTGCAAGATTTTGGACCTCCTATATTACAAATAAAAGCCTTCTATGTTTAGTAACATCAGGTAATACTTTCTTGGAGTGACTATCCCATTGCAGAAAACAACTTGTATTAAAAAAACGACACATTTACAGATTATGAATACAATTTATCATAAAGATTAATATATTATTACCTGTTGTTACTTTCTTTTTCTTTTTCCCATGTGGGGTACCAGTTGATGGACTTGATTTATCCAAAACATAATCAAGCATGAGTCTCCTCAGTGATGCACCATGAGTCTCCTAGTGTTATCACTTTTTTTTTAATTCATAAAAGAAATATTAAAAAAATTTAGGGTTGTGGATGCTTACATTGCTGAGAAGTTTTGCTCCATACCATGCAGAATCTGCACCATAAGGGGAAGTGATAACATGAATTCCATTGGATATAAAGGTTCGTAGAAGATCATGTACTTCCTTTTCTCATATTTCTACAATTAATTAAAAAATGAAGCATTTATAAATTAATATTATATTAAAAATTAAAAACATTTATATTTATAAATTAATTTATACCTGGTAACCCTGGTAAACATTTCCATTTAAATAAAGAACAAATTTACCAACTTCCTAATATAGAATGTATGAAAATTAATAAACAAATAAATAAATATTACATGGTTTTCACATATGTTGCTCGGAATATCTAGATTCTGTTTGAGTCATATACAAAGAATATTTTACATGAATTTTATAGAATAATTTATTAACCCAGAAAAATAATATATGCATTATTTCTACGAGTAGTACAGTACAAAACAGCAATGTATACAATTTTTTTTTACTATTTTGCCCCGAGCCCTTGACAATTCAGTGTTGTTGTCATGTTCATCGTTTATGAATTCACAAACATCATAAACTATTAGTTTGATTTACAAGATGTAGCACAACGAGTTCACAAACAACAACAATAAAGAGAGAGAGAGAGAGAGAGAGAGAGAGAGAGAGAGAGAGAGAGAAAGAGAGAGAGATAGGGGGAGAGAGAGAGAGAGAGAGAGAGAGAGAGAGAGAGATAAATCATACAATAAATGCTAGTATGATAGCATTGCAAATTTAGTGCCACCAATACCATCCAAAAAACCAACAGTAGAAGCAAGAGCAGTCACAGTTGCTGAATATGATGATGGCATGCCACCAGATCCCACAAGCTGCTCAATATCCCATTGCTTTTCTTTATAACAAATGATAAGGTTAAATGTGGCATGCATCAAAATCAGAGTTTTGGGAAAAAAAAAGTTGGACTGCCAGTGCAACAATCATACAGCCACATGGACCATTTCTGTTACTTACCTTAGATTAAATGTGGCAAGCATCAAAATTAGAGTTTTTGAAAACACTATGTGTATCATTTATGTACCTATGGTGGCAAGGAAGAGCATCATATGCGATTGTTGGATTGGCCTTACATATGGGGCATAATGTATTATCCCCCTCAGAACCTGAAGACTTATCCTTTGAAAATGGATGAAAAAGACTTATCATTGAAGATGAATTGAGAATAGGAAGTAGCAGCAACAACATTTCTTGCAAATGCATAATAATGGGTATGTAAGTACTTCATTTATACAAAAGAGGGAAGATTGGTAAAATTTCATCCATGAAGCAAAATAGAGTGGAGAATGGAATTGAAATCCATGAGTTTATGGAAATGGAATGGAATTGAATTCTAACGGAATTCAGTTCTTTAGTCATTTGCAACCAAACACTGGAAATGGAGTGAAATTGAATTCCAATTCCAGCTAACCAATATTCATAAGAACGAAAATTACCGTGAATTCATTCCACGATATGGAACCAATGATTCTTTTGTGAAACATTTCACGATTTCCATATCTTCCATCACTAATATCTGTTATGATTAATGATTTAGAATGTTTAACAACTCAATCTGATCTCTGATGTTGTTTCTATGAAGATATACTAAATGCTCTTGCAAAAAGGATGAGAGACTTCTCCATGGAATCGCCATGGATTTCTTTGTCATCTCTACCCATCAAATGATAACATGATCACGCAACATGAATCAATGGGTGTGTGTTGTTTGCTCTGTATTTATGAACCTAGAACCCTAAATTTCAGGGGAATGAATTAAAGCCCAATATACATATATATCAAATCACGCAACATGAAACAATTGAAAAACTAAAACTACTCTTTAGCTTTAAATTTATAATTAGGATAATGACAATTTACCCGGGAATACAAATGAAGACGAACAATCACCAGCCATCATCCCCTGACAACCCCTTGACAACCTTCGAACTCCACCTCACACCCTCACCAGCAAATAGAAAAAAAAAATAATAAGAAGAAGGGAGAATAAGGGTTGTGATTGAACCAGAGGAAGAAAGAGGAAGAATACGCATATCTTTTCTTTCTTTTTTTTCTTTTCGCTCTCAAACTCTGGCTGTATATAGGAAAGCACGAGAGATATTGAGAGAATAGACACAAGAGAGACAAAGATATTGATTCAGGTACGGTTGAGAGTTAAGAACATATAATTATTTGTAGAAGAAGGAATTTGGATGGGTGAGGGTAGGGACGAGGAAAACTTGTTTCCTGTGAGATCCAGAGCACAAAAGCCCTAGTTCTTCCAATTTTGGGATGGCGTGTCTTTAACGTGTCAGAGGGAGAAAATGGTGGATAAAAGAGGGTAGTCGACATCGTTGGCCACTGTATGGCTACCAAGCTCCAAAAATACGAAAGGGAGGAAGAGTTACAGCCGCATAATGAGGTCAAGGGTTTACAGAGAAAAGGAGAAGCAGATAATGAAGGTTGTCGACTGGTGGAGAGGATGAGTTCGTTATTCCTTCCCGAACAACAAGAAATTGATTAGAGAACAAAACTGAGGTCTATGGTTTACATGGAAACCCTAAAAGATAGATGAAACGCGGGGTTTTTAATTTTTTACGATGTCATTTCCCCCCTTCTTTTTTTAGGATTTCATTTCCCCCTGCTATTAAAGGATGGAACGCACCTTCCATTGAAATTGATAAAGCGACATCCTTAGATGACGCACATGTGCCCTCCGTGTTTTTTTGTTTAGACACTAATTTAAGGGCACGCAATAATACGTGACCTAAATCCTTAAATTTTTTCAATAGATGACACTCTTTTAATGTCACTCTCTTTTGCGTAACATAAATCAATGAGTGTCGTGGTTTGCGCGTCGTAAAAGGGTCTTTTTCTTGTAGTGGGTGCTGAGGATTTTGTTACCAGAGAGTTTGGTTCAAATAGTAAAGATGAGAGTGTAGATAGGGAAGAGAATATCGAAGGACGGTGTTTCAGGGAAATTACTTCAAAGTCTGCAATGAGTGAGAAGGTACGTGATCTTTTAATCTCGCATAATATTTCTTCAAAATATTATAATTCTATTTAATCAAACATTAATGATGCTTGTGTTTACTTCAATGATTTGTTGATTTCTATGTATAGTGATGTGCAAAAAATGAAAGATGAACTTTATGATGCTAGGAATAAATTTGACGAGAAAAACTCTAGAATTGATAGTTTGAATTTAAAGATTAACAATGTTACAATCAATATGGTCTCTTTAAGATTAGATAAAATTTTGTTAATCAAATAGAGGAACATATACTATAACACAACTAAAAGACTATATGGTAAACTCACTCTATTATATCACTCCTCTAATATTTGCAAGGAACAACATCAAAAACTCTTACCTTTTATTGAATTTAGTAAGGAATTAGTTGATGAAATTATATTTACTTATGAGAGTAGGGTTTCTCAATTTGAATAGCTACCAAATGATTCATATGCTTATGGTGTTGTTGATATTGATGAATCTTTGGATGCCGATGAATTGGTTGATATTGTTAATGATACTTTAAGTAATAATGATCAAATGAAATTTTGAACAAAAATGAATCTTTGACACAATGTTCTCAAGAAAATTTTGTTGATATCAAAGACGACTATGAAAATATCAGTCAAACAGAAGAAGAGGTATGTGTTGATTGTTTGAATTTATTTGTCATTAAAATTTGTTTATTAGCTAAAAGTGAAGAGGCTTTTGATTCAACATCGAAGCCTAATGTTGATTCCTCTTCGACAAATTGATAATAATGTTTCTCAAGATAATATCAATATAAAAGATATCACAAACAATGAAAGTGATTTTAGTGATGTTGCCTACTAAGAGGAACTTCCACATGTTGTTGAATCAAAAGTTTATGAGTATGCAAATGAGTACACAAAAGTATTGAACTAAAAAGGAAAACATTTTATTGAACAAAATGCTATTTTTTATCCACAATTCAAATATTTTCTAAATCAGGTTTTCATGTCATTAGGAAGTGGAGAAAAAGTAAATTAGAAGATGAATGATTTGTTGAAAGAGGATAAAATGATAGTAACTGATAAAGGTTTTAAATCAAATCAAAATGTTGAGGAAAATAATTTAAACAAAATATAAAAAAACTTTTCAAAGAAAGAAAAGTCAAAAGTTGAATTACAAAATAGAAAGAAAGACAAAAATGGTGTTTAGGTTTTGAAAAGAACTCAATCTCCTATTAAATATATGACAAAACATATTCATATATCTCTACCAGAAAAATTGAAGGTTCATGAATCATACGTTAATGATTCAAAACAAAATGCACAAAAGTCACCTTTAAATAAGCGTAAAACCAATCAAAATGTTCAATATGATTCGTAATGGAAGAATAGGCGTAATCGTTAAAAACAAAACCAATTAGAAGAAGGTCTTGAAAATATTTCACAATATCATTCTCAAAACCGTTGACAAATCATTTTCAAAACCATTTACAAAATAATTTTCAAAATAGTTCACAAAGTCTTTTTCAAAAATGTTTCCCAAATCGTTTTCAAAATTACCAAAATCAGATTTCACAAGGTTCTCTATCTAGTTTTCACCAACATTACCAAAATTGTTTTCCATAAAGTCCAAATCATTTTCAATAAAGTCCAAGGAAATCTTTTCCACCACCACATAAAATAAAATTCTTAACTAATGATGTTAAGAAAATGTACCTTTTACACCTAAAGAACCAAACTTTCCAAATCCAAAATTGAAACAAAAGTTAAAGGTTTCTTATTCCAAAAGTAAACTGTTGTTGATAATTTCAACCATTGGTTTGAGCACAAAGGAAAAAGATATTAATTCAAAGAATTTTCAGAAGAACATGTGAAAGAGGCTTGTGAAAATTACTTTGAGAATCAACTAACTGGATTACTTGTTCACAAGAATCATTATCGCAACCTTCAAAATGGATTGATGTAAAATCCAACAAAAAATTGAGTTTCAGAGTGTAAAATTGAAAAATAAAAAATCATTGTTAATGCTTTGATGTCGAATGAATGTGTTTTTTTCTCAACCTAATGAAGTTGATTTGATTGATTGCATTAAATGTATAGTTTGAATTTGGATTTGTAATTCCATATTTTACACAGCATTTCATGCTAATGTTCAAGGACCCAAAAAGCTTTGGGTACCTAAATCTCTCGAATTTATTATAGGTACTATGTAACGAGCACTATAATGGGAATTGGTATATCAATAGTCTGTGCTTGCATCACATGACTGGAAGGAAGGAGTGTTTGAGAGATTTAGGAAGCTTGTAAATTCAAGATTAGTGAATTTTGGAAATGACAATAAATGCACAATCACAGGCTATAGCAAAATAACAAATGAAATTTTTATTGTTAATCATGTAGCCTATGTTGAATGTCTGAAACACAATATAATAAGCATGCCTCAATTAGGTTTAGGCATTGGCAACCAAGTGCAACTTGATGAAGAACGAAGTCTTATTTCAAATAAAATAATGAATAAAGTGTTATTGAAGTCCAAAATAAAGGAGATATGTTTACAATAGACTCGAAGCCCATTGCTACTCTACCTTCGATTCGTAATAAACTTGTTTTTATTTATGTAGTTCGAGGCTTACCTATTCTAAAGTTCAACAATGATTCATTTTTTTCAACTTGTGAACAAGTGAACAACATCGACAAGGATATCCAATTTTCATTGACTCAAAGATAGTTGAACCCCTGGAACTTCTACATATTGATTCATATGGACCATCGACAATTGAGTCAATGGGTGGGAAGAAGTATCTTTTGGTCATGGTAGATGACTTCTCACATTTTACTTGGGTACACTTTCTTTGACAAAAGTCTGAAACTACTCAAGTGATGATAGATTTATCAAAAGTATCGAAGT